TTTTTGTTGCAGTTGTCATTGGTGTTTAGCAGGCCCGGGCTGGGTTCAAACCCACCAGCCTTGGTGTATATGGCTGGTGCCATAACCACTGTGCTTTGGGCACCAAGCCGAAAGTGTTCTAAAATATTAACAGTGATTGACGTGTGGTGGGATAATGTGAGATTTTATTTTCTGTGTTTTATAATTTCTCTGCTTATTAGATTTTCTTTTATTTATTTATTTGTAGAGACAGAGTTTTACTTTATCGCCCACAGTAGAGTGCTGTGGCATCACACAGCTCACAGTAACCTCCAGCTCCTGGGCTTAGGCGATTCCCCTGTCTCAGCCTCCCGAGTAGCTGAGACTACAGGTGCCCACCACAGTGTCCAACTATTCTTTTGTTGCAGTTTGGCCGGGGCCGGGTTTGAACCCACCACCCTCATTATATGGGGCTGGCGCCCTGCCCACTGAGTCCTGCTCATTAGATTTTCAATAGTGAGCATAATCAGTGTAATACAAAAAATGTCAGCTAAAGTTTTAAATTTAGGGCAGTGCCTGTGGCTCAGCCAGTAGGGTGCCAGCCCCATATACCGAAGGAGGCGAGTTCGAACCCAACCCCAGCCAAATGACAAGAAAAAAAATAGCTGTGCATTGTGGCGGGCACCTGTAGTCCCAGCTACTCAGGAGGCTGGGGCAAGAGAATCACCTAAGTCCAAGATCTGGAGGTTGCTGTGAGCTGACGTCATGGCACTCTACTGAGGGGGACAAAGTGAGACTCTGTCTCAAAAAAATAAATAAATAAAGTTTTAAGTTTACATGGAAATGTGCTTGTTTAAGAAGATTTTTTTGAGGCTCAGTGCCTGTGGCTCAAGCAGCTAAGGCGCCAGCCACATAACACCTGAGCTGGCAGCTGGCAGGTTTAAATCCAACCCGGACCCACCAAACAACAAAGACAGCTGCAGCCAAAAAAAAAAAAAGTAGCCGAGCATTGTGACAGGCGCCTGTAGTCCCAGCTACTTGGGAGGCAGAGGCAGGAGAATCACTTGAGCCCAGGAGTTGGAGGTTGCTGTGAGCTGTGATGCCACAGCACCCTACCCAGAGTGACAGCTTGAGGCTCTGTCTCAAAAAAAGAAGATTGTTTTGAAATGCCTACTAGATGGTATGTCTTCTGAGGATGGTATCACATATTCAGGTGGTTTCAGAAAAAAAACTTTGGAAGCCCTTATTGAGAACAAAGATGCATGAATGTGAAACATCCCTTCTAAACCTGAGCAGCCCCTTATGCCAAATAGTTCCAAGAGTGCTTTCCCAGTAGGGAAGATGCACTGCGAGTTGAACAAGTGCTGACAGACTAAATGCTTTCCTCTGTGGTAGAAATACAAAAACTTGTCTTCCCTATACGTCCTTACAAAGGAAGATCATTTTGTTTTGTTTTGTTTTGTTTTGAGACAGGAGTCTCAAGCTGTCCCCCTGGGTAGAGTGCCGTGGCATCACAGCTCACAGCAACCTCCAACTCCTGGGCTCAAGCAAGTCTCCTGCCTCGGCCTCCCAAGTAGCTGGGACCACAGGCGCCTGCCACAACGCCCTGCTATTTTTTTGGTTGCAGCCGTCATTGTTTGGCCGGCCCGGGTTGGATTCAAACTCGCCACCTTGGGTGTAGGTGGCCGGCACCTTAGCCACTTGAGCCACAGGCACCAAGCCAGGGAAGATCATTTTGATAAGGATTTAACAACTTGTTTCCAGATGCTGAGTCAGAGTTTAAGAGCTATTTTTCCACATATATTCCCTAGCCACCCCTCTGTAGTCTTACTTGCACATGTGCGGCATTAAAGCATAGTAAGAATTGATTAACCATGTTCCAACTGTTTAGAAGAACTGTGGAAATAGAACTTAAATACTGTCGTCTTTGTCTCAGCTCAGTCACCCAGAGCTTGTGGAAGGCCTTGTGCTCATTAACGTTGACCCTTGTGCTAAAGGCTGGATTGACTGGGCAGCTTCCAAAGTAAGTACCAAACCACTCTTCTCAAAATAGCTTGTCTATTATTTTATTGAGAAATGCGTAACATACGGTTAAAAGCAAAAAGTCTCCAGTATATAGCTTGAAGAATGAAACCCAATCAATATACAGGGCGGCCATAAAGTTCATGTGCCTTTTTAAATAGTTGTGCAGTTTAAATAGTAAATGGCACACAAACTTTATGGCCACTCTGTATAGAATATTTCTGTTTTTAAACAGGTTTATCTTTTCTTAAATAGGAATTATAGAACGTATATTCCTTTGGGTCTAACTTCATCATCATTGTGTCTGTGAGCCTCCTCTGTGTTCGGTGTAGCACTAGCCCTTTTTAATTGCTGTTTAGTAGTCTATTATGTAAATACACAGAATGAGTTGTTTCTGTTACTTGGATCTTAAGAATAAAGCTGCTATACACATTATTTTCAGTAGATGTACACATTTATTTCTCTTGCGTTTATACCTAGAACTGAAACACCTGAGTCATATGGTTGTTCTATGTTTAGCTTTAGTAGATACTGCCAACAGTTTTCCAAAGTATTTGACCAGTTTATACACCAGCAGTGCATGAAAGTTCCAATTGCTCCACATCCTCATCAACATTTGATAGTCAGTCCTTTTAATTTTGTGAAAGATGAGCAGTTTTATTTGTAATATTTGTTTCTATATGGTACCTATCACCAAAATAGCTTTAGTTATTAAAATAACGATTTGTTTGTTTGTTTGTTTTTGGCTGGAGCTAGGTTGGAACCTGCCACCTCTGGCATATGGGGCCGGCACCTTACTCCTTTGAGCCACAAGAGCCTCCCCTAAAATAATAATTTTTAATTGTACCATTTTGAAAATTTTAATCTATGCTTATAGGTAAATAATGCTAGGTTTTAGTTTGCATTTCCTGAGGGGTAATGGTGTCAAGCACCTTGAATATACTCTTGTAAAGTGCCTGTTAATGTCTTTTGCCCTCATATTCCTTCCCTTTTAAAAATACTCTAGGCTGGGCGCAATGGCTCACGCCTATAATCCTAGCACTCTGGGAGGCCGAGGCGGGTGGATTGCCTGAGCTCACCGGTTTGAGACCAGCCTGAGCAAGAGCTAGACCCCATCTCTAAAAATAGCTGGGCATTATGGCGGGCACTTGTAGTGCCAGCTACTTGGGAGGCTGAGACAAAAGGATCACTTGAGCCCAGTAGTTTGAGGTTGCTGTGAGCTATGATGCCATGATACTCTACTGGGAACAACAAAGTGAGACTGAAAATAAATAAAAATAGAAATACTCTGCATGTGAGTCCTTTACTGGCTACATGTATCTCAGATATCATCTTCTATTGTGGTTTGCGTTTTCACTCTCTTAATGAAATGAATGAATGAATCACTCTTTTTAATGAATCCAAACAGCTTATCTTTGCTACTGTTCCAGAAGACATGTAGATTATGCTAACTGGAAAATGAAGGAATTTAACCTCTAAAATCTGTAAAGGGAGATAGGAAACTAAAGGGGAATGCTACAGAGTTTACAAATAAAAACAATCCCAATACCAAACCAAAATAAAAAGAGGAAATAAGAAAAAAGGCATTGTGTTGTATCCCATTTAGGTCGAGCAAGGTAACTTATGACTATAATCCTAGCACTCTGGGAGGCTAAGGTAGGTGGGTTGTTTGAGCTCACGAGTTCAAGACCAGCCTGAGCAAGAGTGAGACCCCCATCTCTACTGAAAGTAGAAAAACCAGTTAGCCCACTGGTTTGGTTGGTGGTTGGTCATGATGGGTGCTTGTAGTCCCAGCTACTCGGGAGGCTGAGCCAGGGGAGATTGCTTGAGCCTGGGATTTTGAGCATGCTGTGAGCTATGCTAATGCCATGGCACTCTAGCCTGGGGAAACAGAGTGAGACTCCGTCTGAAATACACACACACACACACACACACACACACACACGTGTTATATCCCATTTACATTGAGGTCATCTATTCTAAATATGATTCACTGTTTTTAGGTTGGAAAAGAAGTAGTTTGGAACATTTTCTTGCTGAAGTACAAATGTCATGTATATGTTGTTTTAATCTGAAACCATGGGATTTTAGATTATGGTTAGAGAGAAAAATAACTTAAGCCTTTATTGCCTGCTGTTATGCCTCATTTGTCAACAAATACCTTCTTCAGAATACTTTTAAGTTGCCATGTTTGTTCTAATTTATCACTGGAGGACATAGTCTCCAAAACTACCACCCAACTGATCACATATATTAAGAATTTTTATTGATTCTAAAACCATAAGATCCAATAATGTGACATCTAATAACTTAATTGGAAGGATAGTTAGTGATACTTAACAAAGATTTAAATGGAAGAATAATTTTTTTTGTTTGTTTGAGACTCACTTTGTTGCCCTCAGTAGAGTGCCATGGTGTCATACTTCACAGCAACCTCAAACTCTTGGGCTCAAGCGATTCTCTTGGCTCAGGCTGGTCTCAAACCTGTGCGCTCAGGCAGTCCACCTACCTCGGCCTCCCAGAATGCTAGAATTACAGGCATGAGCCACTGTGCCTGGCCCAGAAATTTAAATATGTATAACAGATTTAAGAACAGTGCCTGGCACATAATAAGTACTATATAGATACATTAGATTTTTTTTTTTTTTAGAGACAGATTCTTTGTCACTCTCAGTAGAGTGCTGTGTTGTCACAGCCCACAGCAATTTCCACCTCTTGGGCTTAGGTGATTCTCTTGCCTCAGGCTCCTGAGTAACTGGGAACACCTGGCTGTTTTTTGTTGTAGTTTGCCTGGGGTCAGGTTCGAACCCACCACCCTCAGTATATGGGGGTGGTGCCCTACTGCTGAACCACAGGTGCGACCAGGTATATTAGATTTTTTTTTTTTTTAATTATCGTAGGCCAGGCGCGATGGCTCACACCTATAATCCTAGCACTCTGGGAAGCCCAGGTGGTAGATTGCCTGAGTTCATGAGTTTGAGAGCAGTCTGAGCCAGAGTGAGACCTTGTCTCTAAAAATAGCTGGGCATTGTGTCAGGCACCTGTAGTCCCACCTACTCAGGAGGCTGAAGCTAGAGAATCGCTTGAGCACAAGAGTTTGAGGTTGCTGTGAGCTATGATGTCACATCACTCTACCGGGAGTGACAACTTGAAGCTTTGTCTCAAAAAATAAATAAACAAACAAACAAACTGTTCATTCTCAGAACTACCTAGTAAATTGGTACCATTATTGTCCCATGGAAAAATTAAGTCATTTGTTTAAGGTCATGTAACTAGTAAGTTGCAGAGCCAGGATTTTCATTAAAGTCATGGTATGAGGCAAAAAGATGGAAACAGCCTAAGTGCCAATAACACACATTAAAAATTATGTGGAAATCAAAAAAATTATGTTATTTGGTTATTTAAGGAATGAGAAAATTTTTGTGTTAAGTGAAAAACAAACATCAAGCTATACATGTGTATGATCTCAATTTTGTTAAAAACATATGCATAAGGAAAGAAGAAAAATAATGTCTCGTTAGTAGTTACATCTTTGGCTGGTATATATATTTTATTTATTTATTTATTTATTTTAGATAGAGTCTCACTCTGTTGCTCCAGGCTAGAGTAGCCATGGTGTCGTCATAGCTCACAGCAACCTCAAATTCCTGGGCTGAAGCAATCCTCTTGCCTCAGCTTCTCAAGGAGCTGGGACTGCGTACACTCATGACAATGCCTGCCTGGTTTTTCTATTTTTAGTAGAGATGGTTTCTTACTCTTGTTCAGGCTGGTCTTGAACTCATGAGGTCAAGCAACCCACCCACTTCAGCCTCCCAGTGTGCTAGGATTACAGATGTGAGCCACCTCACCTAGCCTTTGGTTAGTAGAATTACAAATGTTTTTCATATTCTTTTTTTTTCCTAATTTTGTATGATAAGCATAAATTAATTTTATAATTTTTTTTTTTTTTTTGAGACAGAGCCTCAAGCTGTCACCCTGGGTAGAATGCTGTGCTGTCATAACTCACAGCAACCTCCAACTCCTGGACTTAAGCAGTTCTCTTGCTTTAGCCTCCCAAGTAGCTAGAACTACAGACGCCCACCACAATGCCCGGCTATTTTTTGGTTGTAGTCGTTTGGCATACACCACCATCTCTGGTGTATGTGGCTGGTGCCCTAGTCACTTGAGCTATAGGTGCCGAGCCATAATCGTCTTTTCTAGTGTTACCTTTAAGCTTTGGAGAAATGATGTATTTCCTAGCTTTGGATGAAACATACTAGTGCTATAGGTAGTCTTTCTTACAGCCTGACTTATTTAAAATTTGTCCTGCCCGTGCTTGAGGGCTCACACCTGTAATCCTAGCACCCTGGGAGGCCAAGGCAGGAGAATCCCTTGAGCTTAGGAGTTAGGAATCAGCCTGAGAAAACCAATACCCTATCTTTATTAATAGAAGAATTAGCTAGAAATGGTGAATTGTGCCTATAGTCTCAGCTACTAGGAAGGTTGAGGCAGGAGGATTGCTTGAGCCAAGAGTTTGAGGGTTGAGCTAGGCTAAGGCTCAGGGCACTCCAGCCCAAGCAACAAAATGAGACTGTGTCTCCAAAAAAAAAAAAAAAAGGTTGTGTTTTGTTTTTTTTTTTGTCCTAATTCTTATCTAATATGTGGATACATTAACACCTGAACACTCACATATATCACCTTAATAAAATTCTTATAAAATTTCAGATTCATGAGCATTTATGAATATTAAGCATGAAATGAGATTGGGTGTTAATTCATTATCTGTAACTTATTAAGACAATTTTAATTTGATCTCTAACCTGATAACACATGTGAAGATTTCAGGATTTCTTTCCTGTTAATCTTTCTGGGACTATATGGTACTGTTCCATCTATATCCATATTTATTTCTCTCACCTCCTCTTCCCCATTCTCACCCCAGCTCAGTACCTCACCTCTTATCCAAGTCAGCAGTATAAATTCATTATAAAACCAGGGAAGAAGGCTTACAGGGAATCAACAACATAATTTGAGTTGGAAATTTTTCTGAAAATAGATTTCACAGTCTGTACATTTACGCAGATTGCTGCATTTATTAGACTGAGATGCAGCTTTTTTGAAATGGGGAGAATTAGGAGAAAAATGTTCAAAACGCAAGAACATTCTGTAAACAGAGCTATTTCCTCCCACTCCCTGAAATGAAGGTGGCAAAAACTGGAAGAAAGAAAAAAATTGTTTTTGTCTCTTGGCACCTTCGTAGTGATTATAAGTCAGTCCTTATTAGCCATAAGTCCGGTGTAAATGCAGAATTACAGACAGGAATGAAGTAACAAACAGCCATGAAGTTTTAAGTCTTGAGTTTTCAAAGGGATGGCCAGAATTTCTTCCAGGGACCTATTTCAGGCTCTATTGTTATCCTGGAAGGGAGACTTTCAGGGTTTGTTTTTATTTTTTTGAGACAGAGTCTCACTTTGTTGCCATCGGTAGAGTGCCTTGGTGTTATACCTCACAGCAACCTCAAACTCTTGAGTTTAAGCAATTCTCTTGTTTCAGCCTCCTGAGTAGCTGGGATTACAGGTGCCTGCCACATCACTGGGCTATTTTTAGAGATGAGGTCTCGCTCTTGCTCAGGCTGGTCTCGAACCTATGAGCTCAGGCAATCCACCTGCCTCGGCCTCCCAGAGTGCTAGAATTACAGGTGTGATCCACCACGCCCAGCCTTGAGACTTGAGACTTTTAGGTTTTTCTGACTGACTGCTTTTTTTTTTTT